GCCACTCTACATGGACGCAGTATTCACTGGTGGCAGCAATTATCTCACCTGATTTTAGTCTACATTAATTTTGCATTCTACTTCTTCGTAATAAACCATGGCAGGGCTGAAGATGTGCAAATGCTACAGATAGGAGAGTCAGTTTCAACTCATAAATGAAGGGCTGAAAATGAAGTCTGCATTCTGCAACTGCCCTCATCCCGTGGGCTCCAGCAATGCTATCAACAGCTGAAATGACACTAGCTGTGGACCGTCTGGAATCCTTTTGTTACGATGCTTTTACCCTCCCTGTGTGACTGTACCCAATATTGGAACTCGCCATAGTCTCGGCAGTTCCGATACGAAACAACACAGCATGGAAATATGGAGGCATTTCTCTACATCCACAGGACTATATTCAATTCCTCTTTATGCACATAACTCCGCTTTCGGGTCGGTTCTCCTACCGTTAGTTATGATCACTTGGAGCAGCCAGTGCATGCTTCCATCCTCGCATCCATTCCTCACACAGAACGACAGTCCAGCTTTCTCGAATGCTCTCTATATTTGTAATCTCTATTTATCAATATTGTTGCCCCTCAGATTTGACCTAGATGCACCAACAGTGTCGGTAGCCAAATCTGCAATCTGCTGACCAGATTCGGCAGCAAAGTTCAAAGAGCTGAGTAAGTAAAGGACAATTAAAGAGGGTCAGCAGGAAAACATTGCAGACAAGTTAGATACATGGAGGCAGAAATGCATTTGTAGAAATAGGCGGTGGAATGCAGAGGTAGTGGTAGACACTCCAAAAGCAAAATACACAATTTCGAAAGAAAATCCAAGGCCGTCACGTGATTGACCTTTGCCCTCGATCTGTGGCATAACGTAATCCTGCCAACAGATGCAACGCCTTCAGTAGGAGCCGAGAACAAACAACATCTGGGCAGGGAAATAGTCGAGTTGTAGCTGTTACTCTCACTGCTTGAGAAGCGGCAACGCATGCGCGAAGAAGGCAGAGGAAGGGAGGGAAGACGGAGCTTGTGTAGATGCAAATCCCGAGGCAAAGACTGGTTGGTGTGCAAACAGTTTACTGGTACCAGCAGTGAGAGTTTTCCTAACTACGCACCCCGGTGCTGTACGCAGGTTCACGAAATGGCCTGGCGCTGTTAAGATTAGCCACTGGCGACCATCGTGCGTCATCTTCCAGTTTGATGAGGTAGATGAAGCCAATCCTTTCCTCTGGAATTCAAGGCGGCAGCAGCGATGTATGTGACAGCGTTAGGATTGACGTCACTGAACCGCATGTATTTATTAAAACAAGAGAACGCAGGAGGCGAAGGTAGCGAGGGAACTTCAACCAGCCTTGTACATTTACAAGCAGCCGCAGGAATGGTGCGAGGCTTCACTTGAGCATTGATGGAAGAATTGTTGTGAAATGTCGGATAGTCTCTGCGGTTGCCAAGTGTGTGTGAGTTGATGTTGATCTCACAGGGGTAATTGTAGGACGGCGAGAATGCGTCGACAATATTGTTGATGTAGTACCGGATCATTTAAGAGCATTCGTTATGCTATCAATCTTACCATCAGCATTGCCAACACAATCATTCGATGTTCTTCTCATCCTACATATTTGATGTTCTGTACGGATCTTCGGGAGTCTACTTTTTCTGACACTCAGTGAGACTCCTCTTTCTCTGTTACCCTCTGAAGGGCTTTTATCGAAAACTGCGGCTGCGTCCGCATTTGGCGTGTGATTATAAAATCAAACCCTAATCAAGCAGTGAAAACGGGGGAGTCGACAAGCGAAGATAGCGAAATATGTTCAGAATGAAGGTGCACAGAGAAACTGGCCAAATTGAAAGTTGATATTTGTGAAATGCAGCTGTTAACTTGACTTACACTAACAATTGCTCCATTCCTCCAAAATGATTAATCACTGTGACTGCGTCCAACAATCTTCCTTTTCAACGACTCCTTTTCTGCCTACTTCAGCCGCTATTTAACCAGCCTTCCGCTTCTTGCTGGACCTCGACTTCGGGTAGGGAGGCAGCGTTCATCATCCTAAAATAAATGCTAGGCTGCCCCTCCCACTAGTCAATGATAATGAGGAAAGCTACACCGGATTTCTGAGGACACTCAGTAAGAAGCCTATTCACCATGATGCAGATTGTTTGTGATAGACCTGAGTGGCGTAGGCATAATGGTGCCGATTGAGTGACAGATGACGCGAGAAAGTGAAATTAATTTTTAATTTAACATACCTGTTTGACCACTAATACGTTGTTTGGCCGCGACACACTTGCAACCACAGCGTCAACTAGAGAGGACGTGTACCTAGTATATAGATGTGTCAGGCTAGAGAAATACCTTTGAAGGTGGGTACTGTTTTATGGCCGTGATAGTGCTGCAATATGGAAAACGTGTGAGCCGAACCGGTCCTTTCCACCCACGGAATACCAATTGAGGTTAGTGATCATGCCATCTAAATTGGTAGTTATTCAACTTTTCCAGGTGCTAGTATCGACAATGCCTTTTGACTAACATGCTTCAAAACAGCGCATTGGAATGATAACGTCTTCTAGCATAAAAACGATTTTAGGAAAGACATGTTGCGATATGTCACTTACGTCAAATAAGACATCGTATCATCTGATTGGATAGCAAAGCTTAGAATTGCAGGAAAGAAGTTACCTCTCACTGAAGGATAAGTATTAGGTGCATTGAAGGGGCAACAGATAG